GTATACAAAAAAATTGGAATATTAAGAAAAATATATTATTATATTCCCAATAATTACCTTTTTATGCGTGATATGAACATTGTTTTAATATGTATTCGATTCATAAAAGTACCTGATCGATTCTATCAATTATTAATCTAGATTTTGTTTTAAATTGAAATATTTGGCAAGCTTGCTTATGCTTTACACGAAAATCGAAAAATCTTAGGTTAGAATCACCAAAATTCGCAAGTTTAAACTCAAATTTCTCTGTTATTTATGCGTAACCCACAATTTTTTTTTTTTGTTATTTTATATGCACTTAATACTATTTTCTAGTTCAATTTTTTTTTTTTTTTTTTTCGAAATTCGTGTGTCCGTTACGTTTACAGGCACCTTTTCTACGCCCGATAAATAATCAAGAACTATAAATATTATATTTATATTTGTATTGAACACAATAACAGTAATTACTCGCATTTCTATAAAAATTCTACCAAATTGGCATTAATGGTATTATCTTGGGTTTTGGTATTATATTAGATTTTTGGGGCAAAATATTGTGTACTACATTTTCTGCTTTCTGCTATATGTGTGGAAGAGTCGATGGTAATGGTAAGTCTTCTATATCGCTGATATCAGACATTATGATAATATAATTATTATTGAAGTTTAGCTATCTACAAAAATTTAATACGTACTGATTTTAACAACTAAAACAATTACATAGGAACCTAGGACAAACGTCAAATGCACAGCATGCTTAATTGAAAAATTATGGGTTTCTATTGATTAAAAATCTGTATCGTTATGAAAAATCTATATCATGATGGGTATCATTATGAAACGGATTATGGGCATATAAGTGCATTATTATAAAAAGGGTATAGCAAAAAGCCCCAAAAACTGTCTGCGTAGTTGCATACCACAGCTGGTCGGCACAATATCAATGAGTACGAGGTATGCCGTTAAGTATGCCATCTTTCGGACGAGATGTAAAGCTATCGCTCCCGAGTCCATGGATGTTGGACTCGTTAAAGATCCCTACCTTTGGTTGGAACACCAGGGGATTCGCCAAAATTTCTGGTATACGTGTTCACCAGCATAGGTGTTTAAACCTCGTTAGTTAGAAAATGACCGATATTAAATAAAAAAAACTTTTACTACATTTTTATGAACAATTTTCAAAACAAAAATGCGTTGAGCTTGAACTAACATTTACACAAGGCGAATCAAAGGATGTATAGTAAGCGACAAACTTTATAATAAAATTACAACATTTAAAGTTTCAACAAATATAAAGGAGCCGATAAAGATTTTAAAATTTATTTATCTACAGTTATAATAATAAATTATCAATAGTCTCCAATTTAGTTGTAAATTTGCGAATATTTTTTGCTTTACCAGTAACAGTTATATCTAGAGAGCAATCATTTTGCAAATAAAAAGTAAAAAAAATATGTGAGATCTACCATGTCTGAGGAATGGCTCACAAATTTAAGTATAACAGCAATTGAAAATGTATGAAAATTTAGATCACTCGTAACTTATTGACCAGTACGCCAGAAAAACCAATTTTAGTTTTCTGTTACTGCAATCTGCAACTTATTTCATGCTTAGATAAAATGCACAACATTTGTTGTGTATTTTGCTTTTTCGTTTTTATTTTAATATTTATTATGAGGTTGTTATTATTAAGTTTTATATTTTGTTTTAATGATGTTACTTGTTAAATATCATATTAATGAGTGTTTAATTATTATTTTTTTAAATTTTAAAATATTAATATTTTTATGCTTGCACAAAGCCGGCAGAGATGCTAAGAACGGCCCTGTACTGTACGTGCTTAGGAATCGTTCTATTTTTTGAATAAAATATTTTATAATTAGACTGCTTATGTTTTCAAATTACAAAGTTTTTTGGCAAATCGTTCCATACAGGAACGACACCTGGCGATTATTAAAACATTAACCCACATTTAACTTTAAATTGTTCGCCTCTATTAAACAAGCGCTCATGGTTAATAGCAATTTTGAGCACTACTAGTGGATCAACGACAGGGTTGATTGGATTATATATTTCCTTTAAATATTGTCAATTAATTTTCTAATTCTTGTATCAATTTTTTATGTGTTAATTTCAATTTAACCCCATCTGTATTTGTAACGTTTGGAGGGTCGATAGGTCGATTGTGCATCCTCCTAAGTAGATAGGCACCTTCTAGCTCGTAAGCCAGCCTACAGATTTAATGCAGTTAACAACGTCGCCAAGAGGTGCTTCTCTTATATCGGCTGCTGTTAGCTAATTCTCGCCGAAAACAAACCTTCTTGTTCGCACCCCCTGCAGAGTGCGGATCTGACAGCCTCATAATATGGAGATGCTTCCATACTTGGCAATGACCAGTCAGAATGCCTGTGATAGGCAAGTATTTGTTTGATGTAATTTTGTCAAAAATCACACAAAAGCTCCCTGGCAAGTCTGCAGCTTCTAGTTTTGTCCCATCTTTCCTTACATTTCACAAGAGAATGTTCTATAATTACTACCGATGTTGTAGGTCCAAAAAGTATTTGGTTGGCTGTCTTCTTGGCAAGTAAATCAGCAAGACGATTACCTTTCTATGTGGCGTGACCTTCGATCTATCTTAAGTTGACCAAATTGTTAATGGATACTTCGGCCAGAGATTCGTGACATTTTAGTACTAACCCTCAGTAAATTCGTGGTCTATCCAGGATGAACAGTGCTTGTCTGCTATCTGTAAAGATGAGCATGTTCCTTCCAGTGATATTATTTTTAGTGACTTCTTTTGCTGCTATGAGAATCCCCTTGAGCTTGGTTTGAACTACACTAGCACTACTGCTTACAGTCAATTTTATGTTTAGGTATAAGGAACTGGAGTATGTTTAACATCCTGAGCCTTGCTTTGTTTTAGAATCATCGCTGTAGATATGCATCGTTCCTGCCACTTCCGGCTCTACTATTTATTTTGTTATATGGATTACGGAAGACATATCACGGCGAGTTGGAGTCCATGTTTGCTTAAAAAGGTGGGAGCTTACACGCCTCCAGCCGAAAGCGACGTCTTGCTTCACCAGATCCTACATCAGGTTCTAATTCAACGGTGCGGATCTAAATATCAAGGGGAGTGGGACTAATATTGACTTCCATAGCTGTAGTCGGTGTAGTTTTCATGGCTCATGTTATGTTGAGACATAATTTTTTTTATTTCCTTGTTCTAAGATTTTGCTTGGTATTAGCAATTTATGATCATAAAAATTAATTATCTATTTTTCTTAAATGTGATCGTATATTCAATAAGAATAAAGGCTGATTTATAAACTTGCAGTTACCATCGCCGTTGCCGTTTCTGTTTGACGTTGCAGTCGCCGATGCACTTAAAACTTTGTTATTTTTGAAAATATCATGAGCAACAACAACAACACGAAGGGGCTTCTTTAACAAATGTTAAAGTAGCCCCTTAACTTCCAACGGAAAATGCAAATGCGAGCAGTGGTGACTGCCACTGCAAGTTTATAAATCAGCCTTAAAAGTACTCAAAATCGATACTGTAATATAATTTAATGTTTAGGATATAACGGAGAAACTAGTTTCAGTCTTTGTGGCCATTATCAGGCCTGTATTACAAAATTAAATGTAGGCAGAAGATTTCAAATTTACAAAATATAAAATGTTACAAAATTCAAAAACTCACTAACTTAAATTCATGATCCGGTAATATAAAAGAGTCTGTGAAAATAAATTAATTAGAAACCTTCTCTTTTTAACTAACACTGACACACAAGTAGTACTTGACATCATTTCTATCCTATACTTAACTTTCTTTAAATTCATTATTAAGCTCCACAAACAATCAACAGGCCTTGCTATGGATTATAATTTATCCTCTCTGTTAGCAGACATTTTTAAGAACAACCAAGAAAAAGAATATATGAATGGACCACAATTTATAGAACCACTTTTTTAAATTTAATCTTTACATCCTAGAATTAAATTTACTATTAAATTCGGACCAAACCTTAAGAAAACATTTTCTATTTGTTTGGAATAGTATGGAAGATCTCCTCGACAGCGGCGCAGGTGTGTATAAATGTTACGGCTGTTAGAGGTTCCGGTCAATTTGGTAAGTTTTGTGTAACTGTACCGTATTTCCGTATAAGATATTAACGAAAATTTTACGGCAGTAAATTTATTCAGAACTATGGATAGATTTTTAACTGGGCGTAAGATTAGACAATAGTGAAGCATCAACAACTGCAAAGTCGATCATAGTTTTGAATATAAACTCAAGAAAATATTCACAAGAATACCTGAATTTTGGATTTACCACTACCAAAATAAATGAAGAAGAAAGACCTATGTGCGTCATTTGTTTAAAATTTTTGGCAGCAAACAGCATGAATCTAATAAACATAAACGCCATTTAAAAACACTTCATAGTGAGTACGTTAACAAGCCCAGAAAATTCTTTGAATTAAAATTAAAGTCATTCTTCAAAACTTTGTCTATTAACGAAAAAGCTTTACTTGCCTCTTACAAAGTATCATATAAAATAGCCAATTGTAAAAAGGCTCAGACCATTTGTACCATTCTGCCAGCTGCGATCGAGATTGTAGAAAATGTGGAGATAATTTTGCCAAACAATTGCAGTCCATACCTCGTTCAAATGATACTGTTACCCGCCGAATTGGTGAACAGCATCAGCTTCGTGAAAAATTGCGTGACAAATTGTTTTTGATTCAGCTTCACGAGGAAACAGATATCAACACAGACGCTCATTTAATTGGCTATGTCCGATTTTGTATATCGGCAGTAGAAAAACTACTTTTCTGCAAATCTATAGAACCCAAAGCAATAGCTTTCGCTTTGTTTGTTATTTTAAATGATTCTATTAATGAGGCTAACATAGTTCGGAAGAATCGCGTTGGAATATGCACTGATGGTGCTAGTAAAATGTCTGAAAGATTTCAAAGTGTAAAAGCACTTGTGAAATAAAAATCTCCGCAATGTGTCTGACCTATTGCGTGATCCACAGAGAAGCTCTGGTTTCCAAAGAAATGAGTTCTGGTCTCAACATTGTGCTAACGACAGTTGTAACTGTAGTTAATTATATAAAAATTAGACCCCTAAAACCAAGAATTTTTAATGCACTTTGTAAAGATATGGGCGCAGAACATTCGACGTTGCTATTTTATGGTGAGGCCAGATGGTTATCGTGTGGAAAATTTTTACAAAGTATTCATGAGTTAAAAGAGGAAATTGCCACTTTTCTAGAAAATGAAAGCAGCCCAGAAGGAGAAAACTTTCGAGATGCTTCATTTGTGATGAAAATGAGTTACTTGGTTGACGTGTTCAAGAAATTAAATACCATGATTATAGCAAACACACATGTTGGATACCATTGATAAAGTTAGTGCTTTTTGAAGAAAGTTGGAGCTGTGGAGCAGAAATGTGAGACAAAAAAAAATAGAAATGTTTGCAAATGTAAATGAGTGTGTCAAAACATACAAGGAACGAGAATGAGTTAGGGATCCATTTCGAACTGCTCTAGAATGTCTCTCAATTGCAGAAGAAGAAATCTTCTTAAACTTTACTGCAAGCGGCAAAATCAAGAGAGAATTTCTTAATAAATCTCTCTTTGAATTTTAGGCGGGCGTGGATGATGCCTTTTCTCCACTGAAAACAAGAGCGTTTCGTATATTATTGCCATTGTTTACATTTGCGAAACCGGATTTTTATGCGATGGCTGCTTTAAAGATAAAATATAAGTCTCGACTGAATATAGACAAAGAACTGAGTGGCTGTTTGTAATATGAAACCCTCTTTTGAAAAACTTTGCTGTGCGAGACGGGTCAAAGTGAGTCTCTAATAATTATTAAAGCTACTTTTAATTTAGTACTGATGAGTTTATTATTAGTTACATTTTCATTTTGATTTTGATGTTATGGCGCGCTCCACAGGTTAAGAAACGCTAAAAAGAGTATATTATGTTAGAATGGGTGTTTGAAAATAAATGTATTTCTTTTATTTGCACCACACTGTATACATTTTTTAAGTTGCACATTAGATTCAAATGAACTGAATTAGAAAAAAGGCTATGGACAATTACTGAACAAATAAGAGAGCTAGGGTATTACCAAATCCCTTGTCAATTTTTTAAAGACGTGTTAAATCTAAATGCCATTTTTCTAAGAAGCCCAAAATAATAATAATAATAATAATAATAATAATAATAATAATAATAATAATAATAATAAAGAAAAAATTGAAATTGTTCATGTTTTAATGTTTAAAAATAAATCACGCAACAACGCAAGAATGAATATCTAATGCATTTATTAAGATAAAGTTACATTTGTTATAATTATTTATATTCGTTAAATTTTTTAAAACAATTCGAGAGATGCTAAAATAATGGTTCCCATCTTATCGAGACTGAGGCCCACAAGGGTAAACTCGTAGCGTAACGAAAACGAGAAATGATTTAACTTGGAACGAAAGACCGAAAGCTGATAGTGGTATTAGGACGTTGAATTTTTTGTTTTGTGAAGCATTGGCATTACTTAGGTTAAACCATGTGATGATTTTCACAAGCCTTAATTTTTAAAACCATTCTATATCGCCTTTTGATTAGGGTTTAAAAACTTGTTCGAGCAATTTATCCAATAATAATTGGCCCCTTTACCTTTTAGGCCGCTCATGTAAAATATTTGGGCTCCTTACTTCGTTTATTTATATTCTATTATTAAAGTACAGAAGGATGAGTATTGCAACTATGTTAAAAGAAATAAATTGGCTTTTAGTTCAGAATTATGCTCAGACATAAATCCATCGCATCAGATCTATTAGAAAAAATTCAATATAATTCACAATATCCTTGGTGAGCAAAATCGAAGTAGAGAGTGTTGAAAATTAATTTCTATCTCTGCTGTTTTTCCTTCAGGATGTAATTCAATGCCTGTTGTGGTATTAGCCAAAGGAGTAGTTGTTTTTCTGAAGGGGAAACGGTCGTTGTATTTTATGTGATATTCGGCTTTGAGCTAAATTCATTTTATTTCATATAAATAAATGACAACCTTTTAATTAAAATGAAAAACACAACAAAATACCTCGGTATCCTAATTGATCAAAATTTAAAATGGGTTGATCACATTACGTCATTAAAATCGCAATCTAAGAAGATTCATTTTTAAATTTTATGAATTAAGGAAATTTATGACTAGGAGTTTACTAATTATTATTTACAATTCGCTGGTTGAATATGTAATCCAAAACTGTATAATTAAAATTATCTACAAAAAAACCAGCATTACATCCTAACTCTCTTTTATATAGTAAAGTGCTTTGTATAAGAACATTATACTATTTGTCTTGTTGTACATTTATTTATGGAAAGCCTGAATTGAGATACACTACAAATTATTTGCAATAAATATCAAAAGAAGCATACATTTTTAAATATTTTGACATTTAAGAGCCATTCACACATCACAGTTAACATCTTGATACTTGACAGGCACAGCCAAGCATTATTCTGCTTTTTGCCAAATAAAATAGCCGGTTAATTATTCTATGGAGAACCAGTAAATTTATTGAAGGTGTTTTTGTGGCTAGTGGCGAAATAGTAGTACCCGAGAATAACGATCAAGGAGAAGCGACAGTAGCTGTCGGTGCCTTTGATATCGGATGTACCTTTTTCACAGCATGACTTTGATTGATACACAACTTAGCACGCTGAGAAAACATGCTTATTTTCTACACTGAGCGAAATAGTTTGACAAATTATCTGAAATTATTGTTATAGTCCATGCGCAAATGTTGCAATGTGATTTAATTACATTGAAGTAGTTAGGGTTAATAGCAATGGTGAAATTTCGGCATCAAAATATAATTCATTATGTAATAATTAATTATTTATTGTTAAAAATGTAATAAAAGGCCCATATTTAAATTACCTTTTCTTTAAGTAAAAATAAAGTAAATAAAATTAAGGGTACCAAAAAAAATGTAGGTAACAATTAAAAAGACATTAAGTTTGAGAGGTTTAACTAAATATTTGCAATGTGCATATATTTTAAAGCTTTTAGGTTTAAAAAGTACTTACATATTTTTAGAAATTCTAGATTTATATTATATTAAAAGGACTTTCAAGTTTATCGCTCAATTCTGTAGAAACAAGTGTTTTCGCCAAGTTAAACCAGATGTCATTTAAGGTTTATGTATTTAGAGTTAAATACCTGGCCTGGCTATCACCCAGACAATATAAATATGTCCATTGGACTCCATTCGATATACAATTTTGGATGTCTAGACGTCCAAAAATAAGTTTTCTAGACTTCCGACATCCAATGGCCCGTCCAGTGAAGTACACAAATGGCACACTTTTGACCATTCAGAGGACGTCCAATTCTGGAATATATTTGGACGTCGAATACTGGACATTTAAAAAACGTCCAGGATTATATTTCCATTGAGACCACATCCCCACTTTTTTTACAGAACCGCTACTCACCACACACTATTTTATATTATTAATAATTTGTTTATTATTTTCGCAAACCGCTATACACCATTTATTTATTTATTTTTTATTAAAAATCGCTTGACCTGAGCAGGTATCGAACTCACGATACATACATTATCGTTTTACGCTTTCAATCGCTAGACGAGCTCGACCAAGGAACCACTTGAAAACTTTTTACTAGATACAGTTATAATTGAATAAGATTTCAAACTTCCGCTGATAGAATGAAATGCAATGGATTCAATTTGTCAATTTTTAATGACCAGTTATATTAAAAAAAAGAAGTATATATAAATGGGTATTATCTGGTAGGTTTAATAAATAATGACCTAAGATGGACGTCCACTGGACGTCAAAATACTACTAAACTTAAAATTAAGTTCAAAAACAGACGTTCTCTGGGTATCGATATTCAGCTGTCAATTTAATTAGCATAAACGGACGTACACTGGATGCTCGGATATGGACGTCCTGACCCTTAAATAGATCTAAAGTGGACGTCCATTGGACTATGTGTGCAAAGACGAATTTTTAGAAATAGTACTTATTTAAGTATGCACCAATATTTCCAAAATTAACTCCAGTATGATTCATTCAATAAATGTAAATATGAATGGGCAAAACATCTTTGTATTGACATAATTGTAACCTACAATTTAGCCATAATAAAGGGATTACGCCCACTTTGACCAATCCTAATTGAAACACGCGAATTTATTATATTTTTTTAAATATAATTTCAAAATAAAATAAACAAAATCTGCAGTTCATTGTTTATTAAATTTATTTAAAAGAAAAAAAACATATATTTCACAAAATACAATACCTACATATGAAAAATAAAATGTCAAAAATGAATAAATCATTATAGTTATGCATGTGATAAAATTCTTAGTTTCCTAATAACTTTTTGGCCACATTTTATATCTGTATTAGAATACCTAAGTGTGTAAAAATCTTCATCTTATTACTACACAAAACAAACACCAAAAAATATCACTTAACATTGCTCACGTACTAAACACAACTTGGACTGACTTTGACAGATAACATAATTTTGAGTGATACACAACTTATTTTCGCACATGCGCGTTACAAAACGGTACACTGAAAACACCAAGCTGTCGCTTCTCCTTGATCGGTATTCTCGGGTAGTACGCTTAAGTTAGCACCACCACAAGAAAGTAATTTTTAAGAAAGAGCTTATATATTTTTCATAAATTGGCAGGTTTGGCGACTAATTTCGAATAAAAATAGCTTTCAAAATGGCTATGGTTGCAAGTAAGAAGGTCGCAACCCGCCTTAGAAATTGCACCTTTAGTATCAACAGCTGTTGTTTGACAAGTCGTTAGAGAATGTTGAGAATGTTAGGAATGTTGACGTTAGAAATAATTGGAATTCCTAAAATTGTCACATAAGAATTGCATAGGCGGATTTTAAGAAAATTGATATTAAAGTAGTTAGGATGAACCAAAATTCTGAAAAGTTAGAAGTAATTATTCAAGTCAATCAGAACTTTCGTTCTAGATTTATTGTGTTGGCATACATAAACACAGATGACCATACAAATTTTTTTTTGCATTTTCGTACTCAGAATGATCGGAAACATGAAAATAGGTTTTAAAAAATGGGGGTAAGAACATTTTTTCGTCTGCACAAATGTAATACTGAAGCCCCATAGGAAGGGGCTCAGTAATAGTGGAATTTGTGCAACTTAATTTTTTTTTGTTATGATGGACTTTTGAGAAAAATGAAAAATGATACTTTTGTTTTCTCTTGACCTCCATAACACATCTGTAAAATGTTGTTGGTAATACCATGTAGAAGACAAGAGATATATTCAAACATCAATTTTCTACCAAATTATCCCATACATATGTC